CGTGACCATCACCGGTACCGTGGGGAACCTGATGACGGTCCTGGCCTTCGTCCTGGACCCACGTCTGCGGACTCGCTTCAACGTGCTCATCGTCAACCTGGCCATAGCTGACCTCCTGTACTGCACCATCCTGCAGCCCATCTCTGTGGACTCCTACCTCCACCTCAGGTGGCGCAGCGGCCAGCTGTGGTGCAGCATCTTCGGCCTGCTCCTCTTCCTCTCCAACTCCGTCTCCATCATCACCCTCTGTCTGGTGGCAGTGAGCAGATTCCTCCTGGTTGCAAAGAGGCCTGTTTTTGACCGCGTCTTTTCCAACCATGGACTGACTTTGCTCCTGATCTCAGCCTGGGGACTAGGCCTGGCCAGCTTTGCCCCACTCTGGTCCGTCTACGTGTTTGTGCCTAATGTGTGCACATGTAGCTTCCATCGAACCAGGGGTCGCCCCTACACCACCATCCTGCTGTTCTTCTACTTCTTTATCGGTTTGGGGTGCGTTGGAGCATTTTACCTGCTCATTTACAAGAAGGTTCGAAATGCATCGAAAGCTCTGCTCCGTTACAGGCTCAGCAGACGCTCGTCCAAGAAGAAGCCTGCCCCTTCAGATCAGACGACTGATGACAGCGGAGTGGAGAGTGGTGCGGCAAAGACAGAAAGCTCTGAACTGAGCAGCCAGCTGGAATTGGACCAAAACACAGATGCTGTTAATCCTGGCAAGTCATGCAACCCCACTCAGGGCTCAGCCACAGCCAAAAAATCATCAAGTGACAACGCGGCCATCCAAAAACCTGCCCCAGCTGCCCCGGCCTCGCAGTCTGCAACTTCAGGAGATGATGGTGAATTCAAGCGTGTGACACGCATGTGCTTCACCGTTTTTCTGTGTTTCGTGTTCTGCTTTGTCCCCTTCCTGATTCTGAACATAGCCGACAAGAACAACCGCGCCCCACAGGTTCTGCACATGTTCTGTGCAAACCTCACCTGGCTCAACAGCTGCATCAACCCTGTGCTCTACGCCGTCATGAACCGACAGTTTCGACAGGCCTACAACGTGCTGCTGACCAGAGCTGCTGCTCCCCTCACCTGTCTCTGGTCCTGCTGCCGGGCCCCGAGATAGGGACTTTTCTCAAGCTCAAACTTGCCTCAGTTCTCATGTTGTTTTGTACATTATGCCACTTTAAAGTTGTTTTTTAATGAAGGAATTCATCCAGTTGTCCTCTGTTTCCAGAGTTTTTGGAACATTTTAGAGTATACAGAGAGTAGACGCTGTGTAGAGATGTTTCTGTGTTTGTAATAAATTGTATTTTTTATCACGTGTTATGAGTTCATTCAGGCATTGAAGCAGAAGTCAGACTTTTTGTCACCAGGCTATAACATGTGGAAATGTTACATCATTCAAAGAAGTACCAGTGTTACACCACTGCGGGACATTCCTGCTAACACAACTCTATGACTATGTTTAAGAAACTTAGGATCTTGTGACTCTGCTGTGTGTCAACTCTGTGCTGTTTCTGTTGACAGATCATGACTAATATGCCCTAAATAAAAGTTAGCCATTATTATTGTGACAGGTGTGGAATATACTGTACATGTGCAGTCATGTTCATTACATGTTGTAAAAACCTAAACTTGACCATCAGAGTCCCTAGCTTGACTGATTCACAATCTCTTAAAACCTTCAGCTTCTATTAGTTTAAAAAGTAGGAAATTCTGTTTTGTGAGATTACTATTAAACCATACCAAATATAGGGAATCTAAAAAGTCCAACTCCTTTGAAGAGGTCCTGTAAAAAGACTAGGATCTTACATGTTGAAGGGGCTACAGTAGCTCAGTGTTGCAGTGTTCTCTTAAAGCTGCATGTTTGAGCTCTTGTGTAAAGAAGGGCATCCTGCACCAAAAACCTGCCAAACTTTTCATTGCTGTGGTGACCCCTGCACAAGGATAAATCAGAAAGAACAGCATCTTACCTGCTTTTAGATGGCGATTTGACCAGCAATTTCAAAACTTGTGAAAACGGTACCTATTTAATAAACTTTTACATTGCTGTTCATGTTCATTCACACTGTGGTTTAGAACTCTGTTTATCTGCAGGCACAAACAACAGCAAGTCATAGTCATGGCTCACTTGCTGCACAAACATTTCAGTTCCTGCAAGAAGTGTGTAATGCAAAGCTGACGGTGATAAAAGGGTTGAAAATCTGAGGCATGGGGCCAACTGTCAAATTCCACACGTGTCTAATCTTATTATACATCTTTCACAGAACCTCACTTCATCTGAACTATTGTTTAAGACCAGGAAGCATTTTAGTACAGTTTGGTTATTTTTTTTTTAATTTAATTTTTTATGGTAGTCATTTAATGATTAACTGTCAGAAACAACAATCATCTGTGGCAGCCCTACTTTCAACGTTGACCTTTTGGAGACTTATTTGTAAATGACTGGATTTACAGCTCCTTGTGACAAAACAGGAAAGGTTTCAGATCACAACATGGGGCAACAAGATGTGCAAACAGGAAGTGTGAACAACTCTTAAATAAATCTGACACTTAAAATGTGGGAATAGCTTTATAATATGTAGAATACATTTCATTTTGTAGTTTTTGTTTCAAACTCAGCCTCATTGGTAACATTCCCAAGAGTCAGTTTTGGTAAGCCTCRACAAAGCTGCTAACAAATGTCGTCTTTATTCTCCTCTGGCTCTGGGCCAGACTCTGGCTCCAACATGTAAGGCTGRATGGACAAGTTTTCTCTTGTTGACACATTTTAATTAATTTGTAAATAAAAAGTTTCTGCACCTCCTATACATGATGTAAAAACCTCTATCAGAATGAACTGCTCTGGAAGCACCTTGTTCGGATTTAAAGAGACAGCCTCAAATGAGTTGATCTTAAGACACACCATAGGACAGGGGTGAAAAGGGGGCTTGTGGAGTTACAATAAGGAAATGAAATTCCACCTTATGTAGACCCCAACTGAATGATTTAAAAGCATGTCTATTTAAAATGTTAGAAACTGTTGCTTCAGCATTTAAAGGGGAATTATGGTCATGAGTACTCAATCAAAATGCAGGAAATTATAGTTTTTCCTTTCAGCAAGATTTATGACATCAAACAAGGGAAGCTACTAGAGGGAACTAAAATCAAGAAGAAGGGCAAAAATAAGGGCTGTAAATCTGAACGAGCAAATATAGCAGGTAAAATAAGTATTGAACATGTCAACATTTTTCTCAGTAAATATATTACTAGAGGTGCTAATGACATGAAATTTTCACCAGATGTTGGT